AAAAAAAAAAAAAAAAAATTTTTATTAAAAATTAAAATTTTTGTTAATTATTTAGAAATAAATGTAAGATTCACCCTATTTTTGGCCATAACTTAGTGAAAAACATTTTTTAATAATTTTTTTTTATTCTGCTTGTTTTTACGGCGCATTTATAATAAAAAATGTTACGAAAAAAAATAAAAAAATAAGATTTTTATAGCTTTTTTGCCTTCAAAAGTTGGAAAAAATTTTGGCTCTCATATTTATGGATAAAATTTCTATTTTATCTTTTTTTTGATATTTTTTTTGAAAAAAAACGAATAATTTAAGAAAAATAAGTTGAATATCACAATTTTCTAAAAAATTTATAAATTTTTTAAAATTGTGAATAATTTTTTTTTTTTAAGTTCATTTTTTGATGTATTTTTCAAAAAAAAATTTATCAATAAAATAAAATAGAAATTTAGTTCAAAAAAATGAAAATAAATTTAGCTGACATTTCAAAATTTTTAGAAATGTTTTTATTGAAAAAATTTCAATTAAACAATTAAAAAAAAAAAAAAATTTCACGTGTAAAAAAACTTGAAAAACATATCAAGTGCAATTTTTTTAGAAATATTTTTTTAAGTTGTAATTTAATTAAAAAAAAAAAAAAAAAATAAAAAAATTTTTAGACGTCTGCTAACTTTAATGTCATTCAAAAAAATGAAAATTAAAATGTTGGACCTCACTTGTACATAATTACCTAACATTTCTTCTCTTGAATTAAATAAATTTTTTTAATGTGAAGAATTTTTTTATTTAATTTTGTTAATAAATTTTTCTAGGGAATTATTTAGTGAAGTTGAACATTAAAAACTGAAAATTAATTGATAAAATTATAAATAAAAAAGAAAACTAATAATAAAATCTTATAATTAAATTTATTTCGTTTAAAATAAACCATTACAAATTGAGCTTTAAAATTTTAGTGTATAAACCTTTGAAGCTAAGGTAAAGTGATGAAGGTAACGACTGGAATAAATTTTCCGTAGTGATGATCAAAGAATTACAAATATGGATTACTAGTGATAAAAGTGTGACGTACAAGCGCCGGTGAATATCCGTACTCGATATACTCTAACCACGTTGTCTTATCATACTCATAAAGATCCACGAAAGCTGCTAAGACACTAGCGAATAAAATTTATCTCTGGCTGAACTTCTAAGTCTCTACAATACTCTTGATATCGTAAATAATAATCAAGCGAGCTTTTATTACTCGAAACAACAGCGTTGACGTAAATTAGCGCATAATAAAAAAGTATAATAATAACTAACCGTGAGATAGAATAAGACAAAGAAGGACATGCTCTGATTTCTCATGTGTGGGATAAGAGAGCAAAGCCGGTCCCTCTATTTACGTCATTGACGCGGTGGCGCGTGCCCAAACGTCATACAAATACGCGGATTGGAAAATAAATAACAAACAAATATGATAATTAAAAAACGAACTGGAATTTTTATTGGAATGATAAAAAATTGCAAGCTTAGTTTGATAAATTTTATTTGTAATTAAGATTAAAATTGCAGCAATTTTTTAAAATTATTGATAAATAAATTCAAGAATTAAAAAAAAGCGTAATCTTATGACCTTGCTAATTGATTTTGTCAGCGTGAGTGAACAATGTTGCTTCTCATCGCGTTTGAGCTGATTATTAAATCTTCGTATCACTTGATTGCGATTCTTCAGTAAGCCGCTTAGTTTTTATTATCATTTTTATTTTTATTTGTTTTGATTAAAATTATTAACAAGACATCACACAAGAGTGTCTGTTTTAATCGCAATAAAAAATAGTAATTGCAACGAGACACGATAAAAGATGGTATAAAATTAAGTGCTTTTAAGTAATGAGCACGTATGATTAATTATAGTCATAGTATCTGATAACTAATTATAATTACTCAATGTCTTTTGAGTAATTTTAATCATTTACTTTGATTTATTTCTCTGCAATTTTTTTTTAATCATAATTACTGACTTTGCACGTGGAAATTATTCTCTATTCTCATTATTGGTATTGATTATTGCGGCATTTATTTAATTGATTTTAAAGTACTTAAACGATTTTTTATGCGGGAGCATTTTTATCGGTCAGTATCTTTTAAATAATTTTCCGGGTTAATTTAATTTTTCTTTGTGGTGAGAAATGATTTTATTGTTGGTTGATTAAATTATTTAAGAAGATTTAAGGTTTTATTCAATAATTACTTTGACTAATTTTCAATTTTAACGCCCTATCCTCGGGGTTTAATGATGTTAAATGAGGTTTTAATTATTTCAAATGACATTTTTTGAAGATTATTGTTGAAAAATTACTCTATTTAAATGTAATAAATATTAATTAAATTAAAAAAAAAAAAATTGTAATGCTTTTATCAACACTTTTTTCTTATGAAAAAAATTCAGTACAAATTTTTTATGTAGAATTTTAATTAAAAGTACTAATTTTTATAAAAACTTAATTTTTAACCATGGTTCTTTTTTTTTTTTTTTTTTTCAGTATTTTTGCATCGTTCAAAATCTTAATTTAAAAATTTTATGATTTTTTTTTTAAGATAAATTCGATGAAAAAATAAAATTAAGTGTCTAAAATTGTTCCTGTAAGGAAAATTTAATAAAGTTGTACATGTATACTTGTACTGAATATAAATTCTAAGTAGGAAAAATAACAATAAAAAATAACGGATCTATAATGTTGATTATACAGCAATAAAAGTAACTTTAGATTGTTATTACAAGGCCCTTACGTCCATTTTCGTATCTTGGTCACGTGTACGTCTTTTTATTAACG